TTTTTCCTTGTTGCTTTGCTTTCTGCTGATCCGAAATAAGATTTGTTTCGACGATGACGGAATTTAGCTGAAACAGCTCTCAGAAATAGTTCACCACCGTGTGACGAAACTGGATCCCATGAAAATGCTTGGATTGGGTTGGGTTGGGTTGGGTTACGTTTAGCTCCTTATCGGAAGTTTCTTGTAAAATATTACCGAATCCTATGCTCCGTTTGTACGCATTCCCTCCGAAGTGTTTGGACCCCCTTTTTTCTTCTTAGCGAAACTGTTTTGTGTGATTCATTGTTTGCAAGTAATGCGTGGGAAAAGTTGAGGATTTATCTAATGTGACGGCAAGATTGACGCCTATGCGCGTGTGTTTAGTGAGTTGAGTCTGCGCTGTTTCTTCGTGTGTGTTTGGTGTTGATAGTGAAACGCTTCAACTTGTATTGGTTCCATGTCAGTAGAAAAACACCTACACGAGAATAAAAAGGAGGCTATTTGAAAGAATTTCGAGGAGAAAGCAACTTGAAGAAGAAGCGTCCTTATGAAAAAGAAAAAGGTCCACTGATTTAAAAAAATTGGTTGATTCCCATTTTTCGAAAGAAATCGATGCTCAAAAATGTTAATTTCTCTCCTTCAAAATATAAGTATAATTGAAATACTTGCTATTTAATTGATTCTAGTTTACTGGATATATATCAAATATTGGTGTATTTTGAAAATATTATCAAGCATTGCCCTGTTTATTTTATTTTTTTTCAAGTGAAGTTGATTGAAATTATTCCTTTTCACATCGGGGTTCCTGGATATGTAATCATTGTGCTTTTTTTCAAGGGTTGAAAAATTTTCGAGAAAAAAGCGCACAGAAAAAAGCACAACAGACAAAGAACGTCCTTGTATGAAAAATGACAAGCAGCAAAATTTCCGGTTATAAAAGCAATTGAGGCTGGTTTACTGAGTGGATCAAATTTTGGTATATTTTAAAAATTTTCTGTGGATTTCTCTGGAATTACAATGTTCTGTTTTTGTAATCATTTCACTTTTTCAACTCTTGAATGTTTGAATATTGATTAATGCAAAATGAAAATGATGCGATGATAATGTTTCGACTCCTTCCCCGACCATCCAATGAACAGAATAATGAAAGATAATACTGTACTTGAAAAAGACGAAATATTGAAATGGGACTAATTCCATGTCAGTGTAGAAAAATACCCAGACTAGAATAAAATAAAATAAATGGGGGTTGTAAGCGTTCAGACGAAAAGCAACCCGGGGGAAAAAAGCGCACAGAAAAAAGTACCGATAGAAAAAGCGTCCTTAGGAAAAATGACAAGGCCACAAAAGGTCCACTGAGAAGCAATTAAGGCTAGTTATTATCTGAATAGATCCAATTTTGGGGCATTTTTAAAAACATTTTCTCTGGTGATTTGCAGTTTTTTTATGTCAAGATTGATTGAAATGAGATCTTATCAAATCGGGGATGCTGTGTATGTCTTCATCTGGCTTCTGCCTACTCAAAAATGTTTTAATATTCAGTAAAATCACTGTGATAATGATGCGACGAAAATGTTTCGCCTCCTACCAAAAAAAAATGTAATACACAGAGAAATGAAAGATAATACTGTACTTGAAAGAGACAAAATATTGAACCTGGAAAATAATCGCCCACGGGTGCTTTTCGCCAGAAGTTTTTCTCCTCTTGACATTTTTTTTCGTTTAGTTCTTTCTTTCTCGTTGATTTTCGCGTGGGCACTTGCCTTCTTTCATCATTGATGTTCTCAAAAGTTTGTTTCTCTTTTTTTCGGTTGAAGTAGTTTCGAGATACCGAAGTCCGAATTTTTGGCATCATTCTCGGAAACAAAAAGTTCGGTTTCGTCGAAGCGAGGAATCGAGAAGCTCAATTCTCCAGAACTTGGCTTTGAACTTTTTTTCCCCCTGTCGTTTTGTTCCGACTTTCAAGGAGAGCCACGTGCCTTTTAATACAAAACATTGTTTCGAACTTGAAGAGAAAAGTTTCCCTCTTCACATAATGAGAAACGTCCGCCGAAATAGCAGAATTCTTAATTTTTTTCTCGAAAGGAAAAAA